TTGCGTACACATGGAATTCGTACGCTTTCTCTCGTCGATAGGAAATGTCAGAGTTGAAATAACGAAGAATTTATCTTCATATTTAACTGACCACACACAAACGATCTACGCTCGACAGTTTCCGCATTTTAAGCAGAATGAGAAATCGCAAAATTTTGAATTAAGTTTCAAGTTTGCATGTAAATAAAAATTTTTTAATTATTTTCAAAGCTACGTTTTATTATATAGCAGAGTTATAAATTGATATGCACAGGATATGCGCATATATCCATGTCCGTGATATATCTGTATCACATATGTTCACATTGCAATACTTTATCACACTAGTATCCTCGCGTCCAATCATTTGAATGTTTAAAAAGTTTCGATGTATGTTGACTTTCGATGTATGTATACAGCTTCTTTTAAAGTAAATTTAGTTTGAGCAAAAAATTGTAATTTAAAAAAAAGCACCTGAATTTTAAATATATCATTAGAGCGAAACGTATGCGTATAGTTTATGTACAGTTGCATATATAATGCGATACCAGTGAATATCTCTCATTTTTTTAATGAAAATTCTTTCTAACTTTGTGTTTCTTAAGTTTATACAAGGTTCACATAAAAACTATTCAAAAATTTTTCAACATGCTTGCGCAAAAAGAGTGTAAAAAAGTTTGCAAAAGCGAAGTTACGCGAAAGTCTCATTAAAATAATAATATGTCTTGAAATCACTTGTAAAATGACTATAAAAAAAGCAAAATGTAATTAAATATTCATCATACAAAAAAATGTAAATTCTAAAATTTTCAATTTTTATATCAATTAATTTTATTTCCTTTATATTATTTTATTTTTTTTTAATTTTATATATATATATATATAATATATAATATATAAAAAAAATAAAATAATATAAAGAAAATAAAAATCACAATATATATTGTTAATATGGAAATTAGTGGATAAGAATCGTGTGGAACTAGTAAAATGATATTTTGTTACACGTTTAAAGATAGACGATATTTATTATCAGCTTGTGTCACAATAACGAGGATCGGTTGTATCTCAACATAAAAAGCAGTTCACAAATTTTTTTTTTTTTTTACAGCCATACAGATGGCGCCCGCATGTCGCAGTCATAGGAACTAATGGTTCCAACATATATATATATATATATATATATATATATTTTTTTTTTTCTAGAAACTAAAATAGTTATTACAAGAAGAAAAACTGAAAATTAAAAAATAATATTATGTCTTTCGCATATTTGAAAAAATACGGGTATAATATTGATTTGTCTATGCTTATATTATAAATACTTTGGCCTTATATCGTCCCTTTAACTCCCTGTAAATTTATTTTAAAAAAGAGACAAGAAAAAAGGATTCACGCAGCGCAGTTAAGAGCTTCCGTTAGTCTAAATAAAAAAACGACGCCCTATTATATACCTGTAGAAATGTATGAAAGACTTTGGAATATTCTAACAAAGCGCGGATATTCCGGATACGTAATCTCGAGCGTGTGCACGACAAATCGAGTTTCTCCATTATGGTTTATCGTTTCACGAATCGAAATGGATCAATGGTACAGCACAGTTCCCCAATCGTCTTCTCAGTCGAATCGATATCGCGGCAGGTTGAAATCGCGAACGGCAACGTGTACTTTTCTACTTCTGTCGAGCAAATGTTGACTCGCGCTTATTTTGAGTTACGTTTCTCCCGCGTCGTTTTGCGCACTTTCACAATTGCGAGCAAAGTTTTGATATTACTTAAACGAAAAAGAATTACACAATCATTGTTTAGCTACTCATGATTTGCGATATGCGTCCTATCATTCTCGGTATCAATTAATTTCTGTATTCAAGACGAGATTAGAACTAAAGAAGTACAATAAGTCGATTAATTAATCAATTAATCAATATACACACATTATTTGTGTTGGTCAGCGAGATATTCTATCTTGATAAAAAAATAGAATGACAGATAGAAGAATTTTTGCAAGAAGTAACGTTGCAATCAACGTTTCTTTAAGCCCTTAAGAGTCTCCGAGTTTCAATAAATCCGTCTTTTCAAATTGTATTTTCAATTGCTCATAGCGGCTTTCGGGCGGATGAAATCACACATATCGCTCTATTATGGTTTATCATTTCGGTATATTGATAAAATTGTAGGAGATTCGGTACGCGATATTGGCGGTCGTGCCATATCGGCCAATAGCGCTCGCTATTGTTGCACCAAACTATACACGTTGGATTTTACCGTTTCCCTGAACCATCACGCAAATATGATCCACTTGTATTTTTCCCAGCTTCGTTATTTGTATATGTATATATAAATATATAACGGCGCTTGTTCCCTGCGAAATATGCCAGTACATGCCAGTATGCGAAACTTTGAACGGATTTTGCGAGCGTTTTTTCAAACGTACCCTTCACAGAATAATGACACGCGTTAATCAAAATGCGTTGTCACGCATGCCAAGCGTATGTTAGCATCAGTTATAATTCATAATCCCACAGCAAAAGAGCAAATCAGCGAAATTAAATTTTTAAATTAGTTTGCATTAGCTCGTCGCGATAAAATAAGCTGTTGCGAAAAACGTGTAGGTATAAAATTAATTTTCTTCTTTTACATTTATTTTTTCCTGTCACAAGAAGTTTTTCTCGCCGAGTTTTTTCCTTTAATTTTTAATTCACGCCGTGATAATAATCCGTGGCGCAAATGGATCGCGATCGAGAGCATGAAGCCAATCGTTGTAACTCTCCAACTAGTTCCGCAGTCAGTTTCGCCAAGGAATTAATAAGCACTATCGCGAAGCACCCCTCCGAACCTTTTTGCTCCCCATTATGCAAGATAAACGGCAGTCCTTCGGCACGGTGGAGCATTCGATGAATAGAGTGAGGCAAAACTTTCGAATCGCTCTTGCATCAAATGAAATTCTGCGGGGGCGGACGTTTCTTATTCGCCCGTCGGGGTCCCCGTGCGCGTATTTCGCCGTTTTCTCAGATCACTGAGCAAATGTTGACCCAGTTTCGCCGTCTGATTGAACGTTACTCTGTCTTTCGAAAGTGCTGACTGGAATACACGATGAGCGAAAAGTTAGGGGCTGCGCCAGTCCGCAGTCTCTTTTTCTTTCGCGCGGAATCTCTCAGGATCACTGGACGCCAAGTAAGAAATTCGATGAGAAATACCCGCTCGCGGTTGTTCGCTCGCGAATTTATATTTATATTTATAAGTAGCGAGCTTGTTATTAGAAGATAAAGCTCGATAACGTGACACTGACATCTTTTTACGGAGCGTAGACATTTTACTTGGAAAATTGTGAGTAAATATATATTTAAAACTCCAACTTTCACAAATTAAAGCTCTAAATGTTATTCATTATAAAATATTTAAATTTTTAGACGTTTGAAAATTGAAATGTGAAAAATAATCAAGCTAATGGTTTCTCTTCTGGTAGCTATATATATATCCGAGACATGAAGATATGTAAATTCCGAGAAGTTAACTTTATTTAGGTGACTTCTATCAGCATTTATATGCTATAAAATGCATTTTACGAAGTAAGGTCGATAGCACTCTTGAAGGGTTAAAGTAGTCGCTCTCGAGGGAGCCGGCTAAGTTGATTCACCTCGTTTCACGAAGGTGCCTCTTATTACGCGTTGCTGTACGAAGTCTTTACGAAGTTTCCGTAAACCCGTGCTAAGACTGAGGGGAGGTCGCAGAGTCATCCGGCCGAATAAAGCCACGGCTGAATGAAATATAATAGAGTACTTACCCACACTGGCGAGAACCTGCAAGTAAACCGTAAGTCGGTGGACGATGCCGGGAGATGAATAACGTCCAAGCGTAGTGGATACGGCTTAATATAACTTTTTCCGTGTACTCTCGTTCTTCTTCCCGCGTATTCCTTTTCTTCTCATTTTGCCTTTTCAGCGTCATAAAGAGACGGATACGCGACAGCGCCTTCCTCGATTTAAGTAATTTGAACGCGCATCTGCGCGTCAAGTAATAGGATGCATCACGTTTCTCGTGCCACCTGTCCGATATATTTCGCGTAATGCGATGAGAAAAGAAAATGTCAGTTCAGCCAAGATATATTTATTTATAAAAAAATATATTTATTATAAATCCGACATGAGATATTTTTCTATTCTTAAAATTTTAAAAATTGACAGAATTACACATTATAGCAAAAATAAATAAATATTTATATATATTGCACTATATACGAGTTATAGATATTAAAATAAAAACTATAATTTTTGTCAGTTGTAGTATTTTTTCAATTTATAATTTAATTTAGATATGCGATATAATATGATAGATAAAAATGCTTTATGAAATATGAATGATATGAATTTACGAATGATATGAAATATGATTTATGAAAAATGTTTTTTAAAAAATGCTTTGTAAAGTCAATATTACTTCGGATAATAATAATGTTCGGATGATGCATGATAATATTTAGTTTTAAATATTTAGTTTTTACTTCAATGTATAATCAACAAGAGAGATATGCAATGTATTTTTGTTACTATTGCATTTACTTTTAAATTTTATATAAATTTTATGTAAATTTAATATCAATTTAATATTTTAGAATATTTATTTTGTTTTGTTTCTTTTTAAAGAAATTATAGTCTAAACAAAATCACTTAAAGTGACTTTTAATTTGCAAAAGATTTGGGTGTAATTAATTGGTTGATTTACATTATGAATTGTATGTCATTGAAATTGTGTCGAAGTAATAATTAAAGATTTCTCAACAATTTATACCATTTCAATGTCAGTTCGATCAGAATTTCAATTTCATTATTTAGTTTTTAACATTATTTCGATGTCATATGAACTATATATTTCGGACTAAATAAGAATATGTCGCGATCAACCGTTTGATTGTGATCGACAAGTTTAGAGTATAAAAGTAGAAAATTACAAAATTATAAAAATAAATTTCACGTGGAATCTCGCCTTAATGATAAAACAAAAGCTTTTTATAAAAAATCCAAGATGGAGTTCGGTAAATACGTACTACATTTCATTTATATTTCTCTCATCGTTTTTCGTATACCGTTAACAGTAGCCACCACTACGCTATCGCCACCAACAATCGAATTTACCGTGGAATCTACCGTCCCCGATTTCGACACGACAGCGGAGGAAGAAGATAAAGTAGAAATGCCAAAAGTACCTCTGACTGAGCAGGTTATGGATCTCAACATACGAGTGAGCGATGTGCCTGACGTGGATCCGGAGTCGACGGACGTGCCGGATTCCAGCTTAGACAAGAACCGAGTGATTCGCGACGTGGCTTATTTTATCCGCGCCCACAAGTTTCACGATTACGATCGCCGATACTACAAGAGCGCGGAAGAGACCATAAACAGACCGTACGAGGAATTCCCGAGACCAGGTCTGAGATCCCTGCACTGGGAGGTGCGTAAACACTGCGAGGCGAGTTTTATCGAGTGCCTGAAATATCTCGAAAGGATCATTAAACTTACCGCCCTCAGGCGTGAGGATGACACCGTCACAATCATGAGGGAGCACAAATGGAACTTGGCGAACAATACCGAGCAGATTCTAGCCGCTCAAAGGGACTGTCAAATGGCCCAAAGGCGAGACAATCTCACTATGGTTCCATTTCAGGGTCCAATCGGCAAGTGTATCGATTTGCCGTGAGCATCCCTAATCACGCCGAAACATTAAGCTTAATTTACATATAGTGTCTATTCGTCCTAAATCGTCCTCTGGTTGAATAATCGAACTATGCGATTTGATCGTATCATTTACTCGCTCGAAATGGAGGCAAGATATTAATGTACATAGTTCTATCTTTAACGCTACGGAAGAGCGTATCTTTCGCATTAATTTGATGCGCTCGAACTTTTCTAAGCAATTAAAGTAATCTCGCTAATTAAGATATTTTATTCTAAATATCATAATCACGCGGACGATAAGCGTTCTAAATTCGTAATATTTATATGAAACTATATTTATGTTTTAGACTAAATCACACAGAGAGATATGTGGAAAAATTCTCTAAATTTTCGCTTGACATATATGTGTCACGAACATGCCTCAATAAATAATTATAAATAATTATAAATAATTTTGCCATGCAAAAAAATATATATGCTCAGTCTATACTATCAGTAAAAATCGTTTAACTCTGATATAAAATGATAAGGCCAATGACGAGTTAATAAGGATAATACCTAATTATCTTACACGCACGTAAGAAGATTGTCGAATTTTCAGAACGCTTTCAATGGCGTACCACTGTCAGCTACTATATGTGCTGGTACACGATGTTGAGTATTTCGGATTTAGCTACCTTTGGCGAGCCTTGCGACAATCATGCCAACTGCCTGGATGAATACGGCATTCATAACAAGGATCCACGAGCGGACGACACGAAACCGTACGCCTGCGCCCTGTATAGTTTCTGCCCGGACCATTGTTGCCCCATGAAGCACATCCGGTACATGAAAGACTGTTTCCAGTCGCAACGCAATCCTTGCTATGCTGAGAATCAACCAGGTGCGTAGATATGAATATCTATCGCGCCCAAACATCTTATTTATATATTTTATCATGGTGGTCGATAGTTAATTTCATATAATGATGCAATGATCATATCGTCTCGTTATATCGATAAAATCGCTGCCATTGAGCGATAGATGTATTCTGATGACATTGGCGAGATTAGAAAATTACACATGCTTAGATCTTTATTAAGCATCTCTCGTATACAGTTAATTAAAGACAAATAATTAATATCACAATCATAACTTTATAAAATTGTCCACTCGTTAAATGATATTATCGCACAATTATAGTGCATGTTGAGATAATCAGAAACGTTAAAATCAGAAATGTGTTATGATGAAATATGCTCCAAAAGCATGTAATTCCACAGACGAAATTCTCGCTTTGTGTACAATAAACATAACAAATCAGTGGTTTAAATCTTGCCACACATCGAGCTTCATATGCTCGTTTGCATTCCGTCCGCCATGCGTGCAATTAACCGCTTTTGGAGTCCTTCCCTTTTCAGAGATGCCGCATTTTGTTTGCAGCGCATCGAAAGTGCATGCTAAACCGGGACGAGAATCGCGACTTCCACGCGCTCCGGATGAATCAGATAAACGTGAGTTGCGAATGTCATCGGCCTGGGCACGAATGGTCCTCTAGATTTGGGCTGTGTGTCGATGTAAATGAATGCGTTCGCGGCACACACAATTGTACGCTGAACAATGAGAATTGCCTGAATCTGCCCGGTCATTACGCTTGCATCTGCCGACTCGGTTATATTTATAATCCGGAAATGAAACAGTGCGTTTACAGTCCGGACATTGACAAAGTGCTGAAGGGTACCGCGCGCGAACCGACGAAGATATCAAAAGCGAAAAGTCTCTTCACTAAAATCGTTCAAACTATTACCAGATCTGCCGGAAATAGCTTTGTATATGTTTACAAGGTTAACTTTTTATTAATTATAATCATGTTGATTACGCATAGTATCACATAAACTTCTACGTAATTTATTCTACTTATTTTAATTCAATCTTTTAATCCAATTAATTTTTTTTTGTTCCCCTCTGCCAACGTTTTTCTTGAACTAAAAAACCTTTCGCGTCTTATATACACAGTATATGATATATTATTATGAATCTGTTGTGTTAATGAGTTATTGTTCAAGAACACGAATAATTTTGGCAATAGATATATTATACTTACACATTGCAACGTTTATTATAATGCATAAAAAATTTAATTTTTAATCGAACTTTCATATCTATAAATAATTTATAGAATATAAATTTCAAAAAAATATTATAATTGTACATACTGATAGTTATAAATAAATAATATAAAAATATTTTTAGATATGATATAAATATAATAGAAATATATCCCTATATTATACATATATTATACATATATTTTCATACATATATATTATACATGTATGTATGTATAAACATAAAATATAAATCTAAATAACGTAGTAATTGCAGTAAACATCCATCTCGCTTTTCCGTAATTTGAGTAATTTCTAAAAAATACATTAACATTAAAAGACTTTACTAAAGGATTAATTAATTACTTTCATGTAACAGTGGATGCAAGCTTTATTGAATTTTGTGTAGTTATATACATAGTTCTATACGGAATTTTCACGGTAATTAAATAGTTCCTAGAAAATTAATATAACACTATCATATCGGATTCAGACGATAATGTATTTTGGTTAATCTAAACAATTTGCAATATTGCGATCGCTGTCTTATTTAATGAAATTAGTGCGTAATTTACACGAGAGAAGCTCGTCAGCAATGTTATTGCAGTTTCTATTACCGAATTAACATGAATGCTACGAATAGTCGTTTAATAACAATGTGCATGATAATCTATATCAGCATTATGAACTGTGCGGATATTACCTTTTAGAAATATCCGACTACTTACGATGCGCCACAACGTAGAAATTTGTATCCGTAACAACTCAAATTTTAATCTTGCTCGTGTAATAGCACTTTTCCATGTGTTTCATATGCTATCACAAACGGCTCCTCTTAACGGTTATTTGCTCGACTAAGGGAAAAACAATGCTCTCGAGTACGCCCTATCCCGTGCTTAGCATAACGGAGAAGTAAGCTCGGACCAAGCTAAACACTCGGAAGAAACATTTCGGAGAGAGAGAGAGAGAGAAAGAGACGAGAGTTCTTAAAGATGTTAAAACTCGTGGAACAGCAATTATCTTTTGCATTAACACTTATTCTAGCGTGAATAATGCGCTACTTCTTGCTAATTCTGCAAAATTATTTCCAAAATTTATTTATTTATTATATTCCGCGGTTTTACATGGAACATTAAAAAATATAAATAAATTATCGCGAATATGTGTATATTCAAATATGACATAAATATTTAAAATTCCGTCGAAATAATAAACAGATATTTGCTATGACATAAATGTTAATGTTACGTAGTTTTATTTCACCGCATTCTGTTGTACATGGATATTGTGTCATTTGCCAGTTTCGATGAAAATAAATCCATTGGTTTGTTAGATAACCTCGTGAATTAATTTATGTCGCGTTAATTAACCAACATTTAAGCAACATATCCCTGGAGCCAGCATGTTCGATGCTATGCATGTGTGTATGAGTGTGCGTGTGAGACATGTGCAATCCAATTTTTGCGGTATATGCATCCAGAATGAGATGAGTGACACGCGTTTCGTGCTACCTACTTTATCGTTTCCGTTACTATAAAATCCTGTAACGTGAAAAAATATCGTCGAGGAGAAATCCGTGTGTGGAACATGTGCGTGAATGCGTCCAAGTTGAACGATAAAAAATATAGGCTAATCGAAATGGAAAAAAAGTCTGGCAGTACTGTTTTATTCATCGACGCGTTCGAATGGCAGATTCGTCTTTTCGCCAAAGAAACTCTTCGCGCGATATAACACATAAATGCATAAAGCATGATGCAGTTTTCTTTATTTTTTCGATTTTACATCATTCATCAAGGTACGACTGTCAAGATATAATCGTTGATTTTGATGTATCGGAACGGGAAAAATCGACGGTTGCGCATTCTGAAAAGCGATTGCCTTTTTGTATGCGAATTGTATAAATGAGAAATTGAGACGTAGAGCGGAACGTAGCGGAGAAAATGCGATTACGTGGTCGAAACGAAAGCAAGCAATTAACGCAGTCAGCTCGCGTTAACCAATGATTCTTTCCCGTTGCCCGTTTCGCAAGACAAAATGCGTATCAGAGGGATTAGGAAAAACAAACTGCCCGCAGGTTTACATAACTCGACCGGGTCGAGATCCCAAGGATCGCGATATCGTGAGCACTTTCATTCTATCTCTGTTCCCTGTTATATAAAGGCTAAACCGGTTCTATCCTCGTTCACTCACGCAAGTCGATATTATGGTTGTACGCCTCTCTCTCGGTCAATACTCTACATCTAAATCCGCGTACAGTTTCTAATTTATGCGAATTTATATTAATAATCATTAATAATAATTGCATTAATAATTTAAATCTGAGTCATGCACGAACTTTTGAAAAACTATCAAAGTACTTATTATTTTTCCACTCTATGCCTCATTAAAACAGCTGACTGAGCTTATTTGTTGCGGTCTGAAGAAAAAATTAAATTATTGTTTGTAACTTCGTAGAAATAAATTAACATATTATACATAGAAATGTAAGAAAAAAACATTAATCTTTTTATCAAGTCGATTGACGTAATTGTTATAATGTTAAAGTATTATATCTTGATACTTATATGTTTTTGTGATACTTATATGTTCTTGATTCTTATATGTTTTTGTGATTATTTTAGCATATATTATTATCATATTGATAGTACAACAATTATAATTGAACTTTAGCACAGATAATAACGGACGACTTGCTGCGTAACTCATCAGAAAAAGTAATTAATGAGACTGAGTAATTTGCGAGGCTGTTTGTGCTTTGCACGTAAATGGTATCATTACGTATATTAACGTAATTATTGATCAGTTTTTATGACATTCGGTGGCATCATCGTTGAAAAATCTGCGTCTCCCGGGTTTTCATCTGCGTGTAAAATTACAGTTTGTCCTAAATTGACTTGATTTTTCATTCGTAAATAGTGTGGCGACCGACGCGATTCGTCGAGCTCGAGGATTGAAAACAACAGTGCGCGCGGACATGTATGAAACGAAACATGCGCTGAGACAAAAAAATGCACATATTCATACATGGAAATAGTGAGAGGAAAAAGGAGGAGAGAGGAAGAGGAAAACGAGACCGAGTGCAGTGCAGCGTTACAGGGAAATCGTGCGTCGAATAGCCGGACGTGTCGAAAGACTGAACATTTCCCATGTCCTAGCTATTTACGCCAATTGACCATCGTAATATTAACGAATTACGTTAGCGAAGTACGTCATTTCATCGCCGATATCACGAATGCCTTTATCTAAATAAGCTAATTTTCACAAAACAAATGTGTCCGACACTTAAAATGAGATATTACTTTGAAAGATAAGTGATAAGATCTCTTGTCTGCATAATCTTACGAATAATTCATAAGAAGGCAACTGTACTTTTTATGACATAAGCTTTAGGTTGTAACTGTACTTTTTATGACGTAAGTTTTTTTAAATTTTTGTTAAATATCTTATGGTTAATGAATGCATGTGAAAGAGAAAATTATACAAAATATTTCAATGGAATTAAAAAATTAAAAAAAATTACATACGAAAATAACATATCAGACACAAAGAAATAAGATCGCAGGCATATTGAGTTTTAGGCCATATTGGCTACTTTAGATGCATATTAATGCGTTTCTGAAAATACTTATTTAATGAACGTGGAAACATTTGTTTATAATATTGATGATATTATACATCATTAAATTGCCGATAAAAATGTCTGCTTTTTTATGATTGATGATATATCGATTATTATTTATTACGGGTCGAATATAGGATAAAGATGCGTGTTGAAATATTTTTATCATTTGCTTATAAAGCAAAACTAAAAGGATATAACGTGATACTTTTATTTCTAATGCAACAAGCGATCACAATTGAAGCTACGAATTCTATACTTATTTAAGATCACGTAACTGACAATTCTGGTAAACGTAGCTACGATAAACATTGCCCTCATTTACATCGTGATACTAGACGTCGATGAGGCGTCCTTGTACTACCTTGCCAATTCGATCCCTTTGTCGCGGTTCATCAATCCACTTGCAACAATGAAGACACGTTTCATCAAATCTAATTGCCATAGTCTAGTCCAGCTTTATACATCAATGTTTTAGATATGTTGAAGATTGTTTATGTGAATGTGATTCATAAATTTATAGTTTTAAGTAATAAAATTAATTTTTTTTAAACTTGCACAAAGAAAACGATATTAATTACTCAAGAAAGTAGTAAATTAATAAGACATACGATTTTTAATGTCATCACTACAAAAAAATGTGCACATGCATGTTGATGAAAAATTGTAACGTTAGTAAAAAATGCTTACTGTGCTAAAAATTTTTACAGTGAAAAAAGCCAGCTTAGTATAAGACACATTTACAAAAAATACTTTAAATAGACATTATCAATTTTTATTTCAATTCATATACATATTATGTAGAAAAATTGAAGAGTCTTGCAAAAATATTTAAAAGAAATTAATTATCAAGTATTTAGTATTTATATTTAAAAAGAAATTAAACCTGAAACATTCTAAATTTTAATACGTCTAAAATATTTCTTGTTGACATCTAATCTTGTATTCTATTCGTACATAATCGCAGAAGCTATTTTGCTGCGCATAACAAGGTTGGAGAATAATATTTTAATCATCATAATAAACTCTGATTCATGTCGTCTGACTTGGAAATTACATGCCAGGTCAAACAGCAAATCTCTAGCCTCTCTCTTTTGCGATATCATTATTATTATAAGTGGAATATTACTTGAGAGCGCCACGCGCTCCTCGCGGTACCGAAGCGGCTTCCTTTTCCAACTGGTCTCAGTCATTCACAATGTCTCTGTGCGAATGGTACGCGAATCGCACGGTGCTCCTCACGGGAGTCACCAGCGAATTGGGACGTGTTCTGCTAGAGAAGATCCTGCGATGCTTGCCGAACGTCACGGTGTGCGTCGTTCTCAGATCCCAGAATGGTCTCAGCATCGAGGACCGCTTGAAGAAGATATTCGCGTCACCCGGGTACGAACGGGTTATATCCCTCGCGTTCACCTCGTGCCTGTAAATCGCCCCGGTCGCTCGATATCGCTTTTGTGAGCATTAAATTGTGACCCGCGATTTCGGTCGAGGGCGTGCGCCGAATTTATTCTCGAGGATGTCGAACCGAAAAAGCCACTTCTCTTTTTCTCTCTCTCTCTTTACACCCGGTGGCTTTCCGCGGGAATTCCGGGAACGTGGTGTACCTTATGTCAGGAATCGATTGTGGAATTAGATTTTCGCGAATACTCATATGGCGACCGATAGAATGATATTCATTGGACATTTTTCCGAAAAGTTATTCTTATTATTCACATAATTATAAAGAAACTTGTGATAAATAACTTGTGCGTAAATTTTGAAAATTTTTATTTCGATTTATTTGTGCAACAAAAATATAATTTTGTTATCCAACATAATATCATTTACCATCCAAACATAAATTTAATTCTGCGTCAATTAGTTTCGAAGAGTGCATCATTGTATAACATGTCAAAAATATTCTCATATAAAGTGTTTCTCCATTAATTAAAATAATAAATTATGAATTCAAAATTAATATCGAAAATACAAAAGCGAAATCTTTGACATCTGCAGTTCGTATTGATAATTCCTTAAAAGAATTTCTCTATTAGATAAACTCGCGACCGATATCAAAGGAGTGACTTAATTCAAAAGAGTGATGACAGAATCCGATACATTAAGTCGTTTATTTTTAGTCCGATATATTACGATCGTTTGGTCGAAATTACAACCGTAATAATAATGTCAAGACGAGAGAGAGGGCGAGAGACAGTCAGACGCGTAAACCCGATCGCTTCGTTACGTGCTCGTCCATCGTAACGTGTATCGTCCGGATGCATCGCAAGATTCAACGCGAAGGCGAAACTCTGCACCGTTGGCATCGTGCAGCTACTCCCTCGAGAGAAAGAGAACGGCTAAAACTCGCAGAGAGAGATTTATTTTCATTAGCACACGCCTCCGCGCTCCCTTTAGAAAGATTATGAAGTATACGCGATGCGGCGCTCTCCTCTCCTTTTTCTATCTTTTTCCTCTTTCTCACCCTCGCAAAATCCGCGACCGCGCGGAAAATTCGTCCGCCGCGTTTTGAATTTCGCGAAATTAAAATCCACGCGAAAGGATTGTCTTCCCCTGGGAAATCGTAGTTACCATTGGATCGTTGCGTTCCTCTTCGCTTGAAAAAGAGGATCGCCCAGCGCGTAAATGAGAAAATGCAAATGGACGAGCAGCTCGAATGTTCAAGGTGCAACTACTTCGACGCTATTACGTTTGGCTGAAATCGCTCTCGGCTGCGGCTGCTTGCCGGATTTTCCACGTCTTATTTGCGACTCCCTCTATAGCCCCGTTTAAAATAGTCACGGTGCATAAATCTGATTGCATAAATCTCTGTGCAATGTAGTCGGGAACGTCAAGGTATTATGCTGTGTTTGCGTTTTTGTCCATCTAAACATAGCAAGAATCGGAGAGTATTTTCGAGAAATTCATATATTCTTTTTTTATTTTTCGAGTAAAGGTCACAAACATTTAAAAAAACAAGCATTAATTATCATGCAAATGTGTTTTCATAATGAAGTAAGATTTATAATGTTGTTTTCTCATGATAATTAATTATTTTATTATTTTATTGTATTTCATCATCCATAATTAATCTTCGTTGAGGTCGCGCATTTTAATTTCTCACGTTTATTTAATACGTTAATTGTATCTATACACCGTGAGAAAGCAAGGATGCGACTTCGCGTCGCGTAATTCAAAATTGCATATCACTGGACCACTTTACATTTTTTTAACGGAGTCCATTCCGTGCGCTCTTTTCACGCCACGGCGCATCTCCATTTTGATAGCGTGGCTTGGCAGTAACTTCTAAAGCCGATTTACGTCACTAGCATTATTATCGCCCGGCAGGTACGAACGACTGAGGCAGGAGATGCCGGGCGCGATCTCTCGCGTGAAAACGTTCGAAGGCAATCTGCTTTACGAGGAACTTGGCCTAAGCGACAAGGACAGAGCCTCGTTGAAGGAGGTTAGCGTGGCCTTTCATGCCGCTGGACCGTACGAATACTTCATGGAATATTGTGAGGAATTACCGAAACTCAAGAGTGTCTCGATAGCGTCCAGTATTTTCAAGCATCGCGGCGTGATATCCGAGACCGTCCAACAGAACGAGAAGATTCTTGAGTTACCAATTGCCTTAGTGCGCTTTCCTTTTCTCGGACCGGCTCATAAAGAACCTAAACCTGGCTTTGTCGAGATTTTTCAAGGGTCTACTGCCTTTATGGTTGGCGCAGGTTTTGCATACGGCAACTCGGAGTTTCAAGCTGAGATTATTCCGATGGACATAGCGGTGAACACGATGATCGCCGCCGCATGGGAAGTCGGCATGTACGTAAAAAAAAGAAAAGATATAAATCATAAATTGATGTAAGAATATTTAGAGATAATTTCCATTCTTTCTTCTTGTGTGATTATAATTAAATGTTGAAAAGTTTTAATTATTTCGTTCAAAATATAATTGCATTTAATAATCTTTAAAGAGAGAAAGTTAATTTAGCAATTAAAATGTAAGATACTTTTAACTCTTGTTACTGCAAACTCTTTCCCTTTTATTCTTGCATTAATCAAAGTTAATTTGCCGTTATATATTTGTGTGTTTCTTAGTAGTGAATTAATTTCTGCACGAATACATTAAAATATCCATTTACATAAGAGCTAACAAGACGCTCTTAAATATTACGTTCGTTTAATGTTTAATTAAGAAGAGAAAGTCACCGTTTACTAACGGTATGCACGTGTATGATGTTATGCAATTTTACGGAACAGCAATAATCAACATCGTCTAATTACAAGACATGAAACAAGAATGTAGCGATATTGTTCTATTCTCTCACAGTTGCGCAACCTGCGTATTTTCTTTCACTCTAAAAGCATGTAAAGGTTTTTACTCAGGAAAATAATTATCGATATTTGCGTTTCTCTTAATGAGATCTTGTTGCTGAAAGAAGATTTTTATTATCATGTATATTACCTTTCATTACTACTTTAGGGAAATATAAGTAAAGTGGTATCAAATATGAATAAAAAATTAGTATGCAAAAAAATAGTATTGTTATTAGTGTCGACTAGTTTTATCTGTCCATTTTTATCGGAAGCAGAGAATGCAAAATCATTGAAAATTAAAGAGCGTGATTCGATTCGAAAATCCGTACAAAATCTCATGCGTACGATGGATTAATACTCGATTTATAGAAAAAGATAACCGTGAAAAACGATTAGTTTTATCAAAAAAATAAAATTGTTAATAAAAAAAGGGATAAAACTCTTCTCGCAATCCGTTGAAATTTTTAACATATGACAATTGAAATTTGTTGTAGACACGGCTTATCTAGTTTTCCAATGCGAAATGTTGGATACGAACAAACACCTTTTACATGTGCGCGCCGTTTCCGCGGTTATTACTGTTTTGCTCTCATCCAACGCTTCCGCTTCAATTGTCTAAAACGGAATTCGTTTCTTACAGTTTTGTTTGAGATTCACCCTGCAATTTGCTAAAAGCATGCTTCAGTCTTGATAATATATCATAAGTTTCTCGTATTAAAAAGATAAATTACCTTGAGCTCTAAATAATAATACGTTATATAATATGATTGTCAATTAATAGTTTAATAAATCAATTTATATTAAATTTATATTAAAAATTGACATTTAGTATTTTTTTTGCTGAAAAATGAAACAAATCAGTTAAACAATGTGCAATATCTAATCTATATAAAAAACTATATAAAAATATATTTTTTATTGCGTTAGATACAAAATATATCATTGCTTTCCAATTTTTTTTATTTTATACATTATTTCTCTTTTGAGTTTGTAACGCAAACTCGGAATATGTAAATCTCGTAATTATTCGCTTTGATTTCTATGGCTTTTAACTAATCCATTTTAGTTGGAATTAATTTTGCACGTACTCTATTACAGCGCGTCGTTGAAATACTGCGATAGGTAGCATTTTACTTAAATCAACGAGTGAATAAATGAGAGTTTGAATTTACTGCCAAGTTTTCAATGCTAAGAGCTTTAGAATCCCTGTTTTCTTTTGAATTTTTAAATCTTCTCAGCATTATATTTTTAGCTCTTGTAAAAAGTATGATAGGAAGATATATTTTTTATCCGAAAAAGACGGCTAATAAAAATTGTGTGCGCGAGGGCAGGTAATCGATAATTAAATTGCGCTCCATGCTCGGAAGGAGGATAATTAAATTACATTAAATCGGTTTATCAACCGAAGATATAAGCAGATTTTCATGTAAGATCATCGACGAGAAAACAAGTTCAGCTTAAAATAAACATTGAAAATATTTCGCAACGAAAATGTTGACTCATGAGAGAAAGGATTTCGATCGTAATCGCGCGCGATGAATCTTGTTGATAAAACTTGTTTTTTCTTTGCTTCATACGAGGTTTTAATTAAATAGCGCGCAGTGAAAGCCAAGTCTAGCTTCTTAAATTGGAAGTTTTATTTCAGTCAGCTTTTAACAAACGAATCGAATAAAACTCACAGCTATGTTTCTCTAGACTTTTCCCAGAAGTCTTACATGTGATAGTAGTTTCAATAGGAGCATCTCTTTGCTTTGTTTAAGACATTTCCAAATGACTGAACTGCAAATAAGTTGATTGCGTTCACTTTACAAAAGCGGAACGCTCTACATCTATCTCTTATACTTTTTCTTTCGCCTTTAGCGAAAGTACTGTATTCGTATTTAAAAGCAGTTACACTAGTCTAGAAATGTGATTAATTATAATGATTAAAAATTATATTATAATTAATTATAATGGTAACAACCATAAGAAAAATAAAAGTAAAATTATAGTCTTACTCTCTTTCTCCATCCATATAAATTGTCATTAAATTATTTAACAAACCTAAATTTAAAATGATTAACAATGCATACACATGCTTACACAATGCATATGAATACAATCAAAGACTCGAAACAAATTTTGCAATATAATGCATTTTTTGATTCTCCGATTTCTGATTACTCAGAGTTGTCAGATCGCTTACATTTGCTTGAAAAACTTACTGGGAAATGTATATATGTATACATTAGCATCTTATTAAAATACAACAATATAAATTAGATGACTTGTAAAATTGATAATGCAAATACGTATAGCAATTTACATACGTTATTGCACAACTCTGAATAAAAAAACCATTTACCATATTTAATCGCAAATAAAACGATTAATTATACGATTGCGCATACTGAAATGATGAAACACGTCACACAGTGCGCTCTCGTTTTTGTCCAGATCCAACATTTCGAAGCCGGTGGTTTATAACGCGTTGACGTTGGGCTGCACGTGGGAGGATCTGATTAAGAAAAACCGACGGGCCAACTGGAGTTTTCCCTACCCGACTTTTGGAATTCGCGGAATGACATCCATCGGGTCGCTGTACTGGATTTTGGTGCTGTTCCTCGAATGGTTACCATCCGTACTCTGCGACCTGGTGCTCGGTCTGTGTGGCAGAAAACAGAGGTACGAGCGCGAAATTTATCGCGAAATTTCACGAGTCACGAATTTATCGTTATAGTTTCGTCAACGTCGCCGTTTCTGAGTAGTCTTGCGGAAAATTTAATGCAGCCTCATATTTTGACCATTGTCATAAATTTTGCTATAAAAATGTGAAAAAGTCAAGATTTTTTTCTCGTTTTTTTTTTAATCGCTGTTTTGCAATTGTTATTTTATGTAAATAAGCACGTAATTTGCTAGTTATATCAATTTACATAAATATTGCACTATTAGTCTTGTATTATGTGCTTCTTATATTAGATACTTGATCGCAGAGAGGCAAGGAATAAGCTACTCTTGCACCGGAGTATTGTCTAAGTTTAAAGTTGGCTTCGCATAGCGCTTCTGCAACAGCTGGTAATATTAAATTTGCTTGCGATATTAACTTGTGCAGAGAATGCAACACTATTAAAGGCATTAAGTCATTTTCTAAAAGAACATAACGCGATATTACGTGGCATTACGGCTCTCAATTTATAAGTTATAGATAACTTATATATTGCACTAAAATATGCAGCTTTAAATAGAAATTGTACGCTATTTCTCTCAACATTTGATGAGAGCTTTTAACTTCATACGATCTATCTATACTATTTATAGGAAATATTAGAATATTATTTATTATTAGGAACGTTCGTGCGATATATCTGTAGTTGAATATACGTTCTACTTTCAGCTTAATATCGCTATAAATTCGAGAGATCACGAAACGATCACAGCGAGTATTAAACCTCGATGCATTTCGGAGATAATCCTTCGCTGCATTGGCGAGCATTAAGAAACGGTTAAAGCCGCTCATACATGAAATTTCGAACTTCGCTGATAACTACTTTCACGATCGCGAGTAAGTTTCGACGAGGAGAGTTTGATCGCAATCGCGAATGCTATATTCGGGCTCTTCAACTTTCTGCATTGTCGTTCACACATTCGCTTAACGCGCCGCAAATCGTAAAAGTAAAAGCTATCTGGGACTGAAATTTTAGGCACAAGCGACATAAACAAGTTCACCGGTACTCGCTTGCGTGCGAGTGAACGTCGAGAAAAGGAAAATCGCGTCTCGAATGGAAAAACTCGTTTCCTCGATCGCGAAAGTTACGTCACTCGATGCCTGATTGCTTTGAGAAATGAGATTTGATGCCGCAATCGCGACGAGAAAACTTTCCGAAAACCTTGACAGAATGTCCCTTGGAAGTCGCTTTTTATCTGCTCTTGGAAGATATTCAGACGTATCGACTACTTACTATTTATTTTGCAAGACCACCACATCCTCGCGATTATTTTTAATGAGCGTCATAATGAACATCAATTAACTTTTTAACGTGCTTTTTTTTAGGAGAATTTTTTCGATAAAATCTCAAGTTTTTATCATTGTTATTATTTTTTTATATCCACAAGAAAGAACAAAGAAAGGAAGAAAAATACTGCCGTTATCGTTCTAGAATTCATTTCTCAGATTGGTTTGCGAACGAAAATATTTTCGTTTTCTGCATTCAATTTGTCAAATATTCTCCTGATTTTTTTCATTTGCTCTCTCAAATGCGTACGGAGTATCTTACGCGGTACCTTAACCCGAAGTTTTTTTCTTTTGAAAGGCAGCTCTCTCATCAAGTTTGCTACGATTCTTTCATAATAAGTTGGATTGGATATTATATAGTTTGCGATGGGCGAAGAAAGTTTTTTATCATCCTGCTCGCGCTTAATGATACTTTACGATTTTTTTCCTCAATTGCGATTGAATTGGCTATTTGAAAATCAATGTTGAATACATTTCACTCGTTCCCCTGTATGTACTGAGTCTATATACATTCGCAAAAAATACGATTTTATCTAAATTGTAGAGAAAAAAATTATACTATAAAGGGAATGAAAAGAGATGCGAATAGTTGGGAGTTTGAGAGGATCAGACGAGACAAGCATTAACGGTAGGAAGAAGAAAAAAAAACGATCGGTCTTGGAGATAAAACCTTTACTGCTTCCCAGGATTCTCGCAGAGCACGAGAGAGTTCGTAATGCACTTCGATCCCTGGAGCCAATTTCATCGAGACCGTGGTCAGTGGAGAGAAATCGCGTGTACCTGCTACAGCAACATCTCGCGGCGGCAGATCGAGATGTATTTCCGGTCATTGCGGAAGTCGACATCGAAGCTTATCTCCTCTGCGTTGCAGCTGCCACCCAGAAATCCTGCGTGAGCGAGGATAATCTCAAAATTATTAGGATTATTCATCAGTTTTTGTTATATACGCCCGTAATATTTGTTGTTGCATACATTGCGTCACATACATTGCTGTCACGTGACTGAAATTTAAATATTTTTTTATATAAATAATAGAGATATATATATATATATATATATATATATATATATATATATACAAGATACCTGAAATAGGCTTTTTAGTTTGCAAGAACTTTTAAAAACAAGATTATATCTTGGAGACATCTTTATAATTTGAACAACAATACATATAACCTAAACAAAAATATTTATAATAGATTATTAAGATTAATAAGATTAATAATGTGTATTATGTTTATTAACATAAATTATGTTTGCACGATTATACTTATATACTGCACAATCTAAAGTTACATTAAGTTAGATCAAGTTGCTGTTCGATGGTTGAACTTTAATTTCATTTCCTATATTTTTGTTACATTGTAGTTTTATTCAATTTACTAACAGTATGCATGAACAATACTAATAGTATATCTATTTATTCTATAAATCATTCACATTCGAAGTTTTTTTTTGGTATAAGATAACCTATAGTATCTCGACCATGAAGTACATAGATTTTAGAAATATAGCCGGTCAAAAACGTAACGCTTTGCAAATATTCGTGAAAGTTATGCGAAATTTCTACAGAGAAAATACCATTTGGGTGAAAGTTTCCAGACGCCACAAACATCCACTTGCTTTCGCGCATAGCAGTATCAATGAAGGCATATTTCTGCGCACGTTCTCTCTTATATAATATCTATGTTCTGACTTGCACTCATTTCATCGAGAATAATATAAAGGAAACAAGGAATATAAATACATATTTGCAGATTTTGTATGTTTTCTTTTAAGAATACACACACATATGCAGAAAAGAGAAATAAATTCTCTCAAAAACTTCTCGATGCACATAACAACGTGATATTAAGAATCTGTTTCGATGACACATGCGCAAAAATGCAATATAATAATAATAGTTTAATGTTTATTTTTAAAGTAATGATAAGAAAAAAAGAAAGATATATGTAAATCTTCGCTTTTATTATATATATTTTATCTGTACTGAATTTGATTTCACATAAAATCATAAATTATTGATTCACATAAATATGCGAAATTTACACTAATATATTAAAAAGAAAAATCTCGTAATTTAAATTTTCTTTCTTTTAAATTCATGCAAATTATCGTATAAATTCTTTTATCATTTTCGTAGTAATAACACAGTTAGAGCAATGACCGTCTAATTCCGCGGAATATTCCCATCACTACATAATGTACGTCATCCGATTTTTTCCGCTTTCCGTTGTCAGCAAAAATTTTGTTCGCGTGACTAGCTCGTAGGAGCTTGAGCCGAGTTATGCTTTCAAAATCCTATTACGAGTTGCGAGCGCGAAATTTAGCAAAGAAAGTTGCGGATTAGTTTCGCGGGATATAATTGGACGTGGTGGGTGGAACTGTGCTTTCATAATAATAATTGGGAACGTCTATTCCGCGAAACGAAGTTTCTCGCTGTCGGCGAGAAGCTGAGCTGTGGATTGAGGAGCTAAAAAAAAGGTTAAAAGGGAGACTATTAAATAAAAAAGACAAAGTAATAGGAAAAATAGAAGAGAGAGAAAAAGAGAGAGAGAGAAATAAAATGGAAGGAATATAGCGGTATACATATTCAATTTAACTCTGATAGGTATGAATAAGATGTACATATCCGGGTAAATATGTACGTGATTGCTCCTCTGTAAAAGTGACTCATGCCAGCGTGTCTAGAACGATAGAATAGCTCGAAGAAAAGAACATCAAAGCGATCTTTATAAATTCGTTCAATGTTTCTTATTTCCATAGAATTGTTTCGTGAAAATTCACAACTGTTCAGAAATATAGATGGAAAAACAATTTTTATTTACTCTATAACTATAGATAAAAACAATTTTTCACGACAACGTTAATAAATAAAGAAAAAATATTAACGATAAATGAATAATATATATACTATTGATAATACATATATAAACATAATACATATATGCTAACTATATACCATTTATTTTATATTTTATTAAACAATCTCTATATCTGTATTTTATAGACTTGTATTTTCCAATCGCTTCACGAATATTGTAATATAATCGGTCAATGAATGGTATATACTTTATTAATGTTTCTAAATTTTCTATTAATTATCTGTTTTTATCGTCTCTAGTCGTATTTGTGCGATCAAGCGAACTGCAAGAACAAGAATTATCATAACTGAACCGTTTTAAGAGAAACGAGATTTTCTCTCTCTCTTTCTCTCTCTCTCTCTTTCTCTCTCTCTCTCTCTCTCTCTCTCTCTTTCATTGTGTCCTCTCACCATTTCGAGATTATTTACCCCAAAGGTCTGTAAAGTTTTCTAACAGCTGTTGCTGGAAGAGTCCTCTTCCTTTCCCGATCTTATTTCGCCTTCACCTGCTGCGCGAGCTTGAACAGATATCTTTCTTGCTTGCTGAAGTAGTTGAAACTCTCAAGCGGTAGTTATTCGATGTGTGCGAATTCCGCCGGAAATTTCGCCGAAAACTGAAAAGCCGTATTTCTTACGCGTGCGCACGTAATGAAGCGAGACTGGAATAAACGGAAGTTCTAAGACCACACAATGGTTCTATTCTTCTTTGCGATGATATACGATCGTGCTAATAGTAAAATAATTCTTTACGCGCAATATAATACAATATTATAATTTCCTAGTTTCTTTTCGCACGTTACATACTAATTTATATATGTACACTTGCAATATTTTTTTTCAATGAATATCATTACTTTTATACGTTGCAGAACTAAAGGGCACATATATAAAAAGTTTTAATAGACAGAAAAATCATTTTATATTAACGATGTTTTATTACATATGAGCAAATTTTTATGTTGCATAAAACAAAGTTATTTCACTAACAATGATTCTTTCTTCCTATCAATTAATCGAAATTGGACAAGGAAATCGCAAGCGACAATTTATTACAAAAAAAATTGTACAAGGATTATACGGCAAATACGTTATATGATAGACGTGCGCGGTAAACGTCATCAGCGCGAGAGATATTGCAGTAATAAACGTAAAGCGCATCTTCTTGGTCCGATTGTACCGCACGAGATTAATTGCAGCCATTCTATTTCCTTGGTAACGTCGGAGCTCGCGAGCTCGACCACGATGGGTGGATACAATGGTCGTGCATGGTTCTAGGATCAAGTGGAATAAGGAAAACGTAGGTCCAGCGTAGATCCGTCGAGGCATTATTCTCTCTCTTCTCGTCCAATTAATGGTGATATTTGTAGCTCGCACTGCGATGCGACTTAACCGTCCGCGATAAAATAAAATTCTCGAATGGGGGATGGAAAAGACTTGTCGCGAAATCGCGGCGATCGTGGAAACCGCGTACCATCGAGACTTGTTTCCCATGATCCAGTCTCTCGGCCCTTGGCACATCTCCTTGACTACGAAGCTATCCTTATGGCTATTGTACTTCTTAAAGAGTACAATAACGACGTCTATCCGGTGGCTCCTTCGAGGAGTTTTATCGCGGAAACGTATAATGCGGAACCAGAACGACCGTCCATAACGAATGCCACATACGTTTTGTTGCCGTTGCAGATGTACAATGATTCAACGTCGTGGATCTTCTGGTAACACTCCACGACAATCTGACCATTTTTACAGCATGGAACATAAAAACGGAGAAAGATTTTCTTGGAGAAATTCGCATTCGTTTCGATACGAAAAGAAAAGAATGTTCTTTTCATTGTAAACAACTCTTGACTTGTTTTGCTTGGTTTGACGTTTCGAAATTTTTATATTAATATTCGAGAGTTAAATTTTTTTGGAAAAAAAATAAAAATTACGGCATCAACTTTTTTAATCAATTATAAAATAAATCAATTATAGATGTAAATTAAATTGTAAAAAATTAAATTAAAATTAGAGATTCGGAATCGCAAAATAATTTAATAAAAATTGCTATTAATTATTATTTCGTAATTATAAAAGAATACACGGAAAGGGATGCATTGAACAATTCAAGAAACATTTTCCAGTTGGAAAGCTATCTGGATATCTTCTTTGTCCACAGCGGAAGAACATTGTTAGAAGGTTGTAGAATTTATGTGGCGGTTAATTGGAATAAGGATACGAACAGGTTGCGATACAACCCGGCGTTGTTGTTGCACGGCTTTTCCTTTACAAGCGTACTCCAACCATCCTTAGTATCTTCCAATCTAGCAGATTAAAGGGCATAGATATAATCCGGAGCGCAGTAATTTCGTTGCCGTTTTCAGCGTATGCTCTCTCTTCGCTCTTTGAACAATCTCTTATGCGAGTTTTAATAGCCCAAAACTTTGATAGAGTATCATAAATTCCTCGTGATGTTATTTCATCCAGTTGCAACTTAAGTATGAATCGTACATAAAACTTATTGTTAGTGTGACCAATGAGGGTGAAAGCAAATCGAGGAAAATGTGCGTCGAAGACGCAAACAAAGAACGACAAAGCGCGTACGCGAGGGAAAAAAATGTGAAGGTATAACCGACTGGACGGGGTATTCAGTAAAAAGAGCACGAGAGGAAATGGTTTTACTCTCGTAACAAGAGCGGAAAAGAGGAGCGGAGAAATGATTTACGTACGAGCAACAACTACCGTCCATACTTAAACATGAATGTGGTAACGATAAAAAAGAACAAAAATTACGAATGACAAAAGCATTTTCTTGTATAAAATTATTTCTATTGTGCCTTGAAGGAAAACGTAAAAGACAAAGAATCCGATATTAATACAGTTCGCTATAAAAATCGACGGCTTCAATACGTCAAAGTATGCACATACTCATTCATTTAAAAAATGATTATTATCCATAATAATAAAAAAATCCGTGAAATGCCTGAAATGTTTTTGAGTCGAACAATCAAATTTATTGTTGCCATATTTTTCCGCATGTCCGGCTGTACGTGCAATTACAAAAGAAATATGAAAATCGCGATATTCGTAACATTAACGATGTCGAATCACAGTTATTGTTTTGCATAATTATTATATGGATGGATGACATATTTATTATAATACTGATCACG